CCTCTGTAGCTGCAGCGCCCAAGTCCAGCTGACCGGCCAACCCACCGGTCCCACTCCCACCCTCCTCATCTCCCAGAGCTTTAAGGAGGCGTTGGGATGTGTGCCTTTTCAAGAAAACCTGATGTTTTTACATTTAAATTGTTACCGGATTCTAAATACTTCTTCCTTGTGCCAACAGGGCTTTGTTGTCCAATTCATTAGAGAGATTCCTGAGTCCACTGGCCACGCTGGAGTCCTCTCATTTCTGGTATCTAATATCATTACTTTCACTGTAAATATGTCACTCAGCTCAGGCTGAGAGGGGGAGGGGGGAGCATGTTGTCCCTCTCCAGGCCAAATGGGGATGCAGAGTATATTGACACTCTCTGGATGTTCTGCAGCTGCAGAGGTATTTGGGTTCATACTTGTTAGCGCTGAGGCCGGCTTTTAAGGGACTGACAATGAATTTAGAGTAAGAAAAGCATGTAGCATTTAGACTTATTCTGTTTTAAAACCTGGCCTCTTCTGTTTATATTTATTCATCTGCACTGCATTTAAATGTTTGTGCAAAAAATATAGGTTAACTTTTTCTCAAATATCATTGCAGAGTATTCTATATTATTTCTGACACTAATGGTCAGTTTTGGAACATTTGACTTACTCTGTCTTGAGATCCCATCTGATGTTTTGCCTCTGCACATCTCATTGATTAGCTACCAGGCCTCTTTGGCTATTTCACAGTGTTCACCTGCACAGAAACCACCAACCATCATAGCATGCGTCCCTCCTGATTTCTTGACTATGGTAACCTTGGACGCCTCCACCGCAGAGCGAGAATCTGTTTAAAAATAACCAGGTCCATTAGTCTAGAAGGATAATGCTAGCCTATGTGGGCTCTCATGCCCTTGTGGCAGCAGAGTGCTATCACCGACACAGTGCGTCAGCACTTCTTCCTGTTGCTCCAACACTGAAGGGCTCCTCTTCATTTATACACATGCATGCACGTCCGCATACGCTCACATACCACAAAACACAGAAGCTGAGAAAAATAACTGAGTCAAGTAAAGGGATGTTACAGTAACAGAGTAATACACTTGACAAAATATAAAAATATATAAACTGCAGTGGACTGGAAATGTAGTTACAAGAAAATAACAAACTGAAAATGCTAAAAGTAAAGTTTTCTGAGTTTGCCAAGTTTGTCATGTTTCATATGGTTGTACCCGTTAGTGTTTGTGTGACATCGTGCCCAAAGCTCACAACAGTTCTGGGACTCTTTGAACCAAATTCTGGGTCCCCAAATTCATATAGTACTTGCTAACAAAATATGATGTAAGTTGGGTGTTTATCAGTGAAGGCTATTGGTATTGAGTGGCCAGGTGTTTGAAGGTTATGTTTCAGAGCAGTAATTGAAATGCAAAATAGCATTAGGATCGATGGTTAGCTTTGTTTATTTATGAAATCAATATTGAAACCATCCGTCACAGCAGCAACTCTGATTCCCTCTGACAGCTTCACCAGGTCTTCTCTGCATGGCCTGCAGAGACCCGTCACAGCTTTTACACTAAGCACTAATTTTTGTTATCACTCCTTCTCTTTAGAAAGCTGTGATTAAAGACTGATGCAACGTGCACACTTACTGTAGCAGTGTTACTAGAAACACACAGAGAGACAGAGAGCATTACTATCACTTATCACTGATTTGCCCAGGGGAGGTAGATGTGACCAGTAACCAGCCACTAATCCGGCAGGACAGTGCAAAAAAAAAAGTCAGCTGTTTTAAATAGGTGAAACACTAAATTATATTGGAAAACATTGAACTACACTATTTTTGTTTTGTTTAACCTGAAGTTGCTCCCATCTTAATCTGAATTGGGTTTCCTGTGCTGTTTTCACTTCCCTGGTTGTGGACCTCTACGTTGCTGTTCTCGTTCCTTTTCAGTGATAAAATAAGACTGAAAGTGAAATGATATTGAAATAGCAATTCAGCGTGATTATCAAACAGGTTCTGACCCTTACTTCAGACGTTTTTCATTAGAGGTTACTTGTCTTATGTGTCAAAGAACAAATTTTTCACAACTTTACACTTGTACTATCAGCCCAGTGTGTGTATGTGTGTATGCATGCATCTTGTGTGTGTTGATCACAAAACATGTTTACATTAAAATGCCTCCTTAGGAGACCACTCCTTCAGCACTAAGTGCAGTCAACTGGTCACAGTGATTGGCTGGTTGTTGAACCTGCCGCTTGGAAAGTCCCTTCCTCCCAGTATGTCTGGTGAATACTGAAATGTATGTTTACACTGCCCCATGAAGGAGACACATTCATTTAGGATATATCCCCAAAGTTTAATTATTCCTGAATGGTGTGGTGGACAGTACCATATAAATCAGTTAGGCCCACCCGCCTTTTTATTACAAGCACTATTTATGGGGAATGTGTGGCAGCTGGTAGAGATGAGCCTGTAAAAAGCTAGAGGCTATTGCTGTGACTCTGCTGGCTTCTCTGACATGCAGTCACAGCAATAGTTTTTGAGCAATGTCACTTCATTTTGAAGTTGTCTGCTTAAAACATTTTAAATATGAGAATTTGAAAATTAAATCCTACCAGTGTGGCATGATTACCCACTGACTGTGTACCTGGACACCTGATAAACTTAGTAATGTTGGCCTGTTAATTTTGCCTTCTGTATTTTTTTGTATGTGTGTGCGTTTACTTGCATGTGGGTTTGTCTTCTTTTGACAAACAGGATAATTTATGGTGGAGGAAGGATGGGCTCTTTGTTTTAAGCAGGTAGAGTTCCCCCCTAAACAAGAACGGCCTATCAGAAGAAGATTAATGAAGTAATTTCATGCATGGCTCTATGCCTCCGTCCCCCTGTACGCACAGTCACTGTGTCTAAACTTGTGATTTACACTGGACTGCGTTAAATAGCCTCAACCTTTTATAATAACATTTCTTTCTGTGATACACACACACACACACACAAAACATGCAACACAATCAGGAATACCCTTCACCTTTCTGATAAAATTAATTGATCTCTTGGCATTTTTTTTATTTTGGCAGTTAATTCTCCAAATATCTTGAGAAACAACTCAGTAAATGTGTGACTTTAACTTTTTTTTTTTGTACTCAGGTTTCCATTATTCAGAATTTGTAAATCCCCTTTTCTCATAAGGAACCCTGCTGAGATTCTGTGAGAGCTGTCCTGCTGTTGATATCTGCTGGCTTTCCACATAATTCATGGCAGTTAAACAAAAACTAGCCTGAAAAGGCTTTTGTGGCATAAAACAGAATTTTTATGACTTCTTCCTACAATATTAGTCTGGTCAGGTCATTTAATATGTGGGAGCAGATTGTGCACATTTAGGTTTTTTTTTTAGCTCCAGTTATTTATTTGCTTGCCTCTGTCCATCCAACCATGTGCTGCTTATCCTATAGAGGGTCGTGGAGGGATGGGAACCAATCCTAGCCAACACTGGGAGAGAGGCGAGGTACAGTACACCCTGGACAGGTCACCAGTCTATCACAGGACTCACACATAGAAACAAACAACGATTCACACTCACATCTGCAGGCAGTTTAGAATTTCTTTTTAACAAACTAGCCTAAAATGTGGGTTTAATCTTGACTAGACAAATATCTATTTGTTTACATTAACTTCAGATTTTTACAGTTTCTACAGGAAAACCCTGGTTGGCTATACAGTCGCAAGACAACAAAGATATTAAAATAATATCTTGCATAACATATCTGTGAAACATCTTATCATTTGTGTAGCTGAACTAATTTTACAAAAGACTAAACTCAAACATTTACTGTTTTAATGTGCTACATTACTGAGTGTTTTACATGGTTTCAGTTCATACAGTTCTGTTGCCAAGCAAGAAGAAAACAGTGCATAACAACTTTGTTCCTTCATTTAACTGTTATTATAGAGTCAAAGAGCTGAGCTGTGAAAAAGCAGAGCATTTAGAGCTCTACACCTGTAGTAAAAGACGGATGCCCCCGTGCCTTCAAGAGAATGTATTGTGATACTAGCACCAGTGTATCAGTAGCATATCACACAACACCAGGTTGTGTCTGATGTAATTTCACATACCAGTTTCCTTGTGAATGGAGACTGTGAATACACAAGACGTAACCATCAGAAGCTGTTTTTAAGAGCCATTATAGCCAGTGGTAGGCTATAATTACTTTTTCTAGTTATCATGAACCATTGTAAATGTATGTTAAATTATACCATGGCCATGCTACATAATGGATGTAATGGAAACTAATCTTTTTTAATGAAAAGGCAGTATTAGAAATTTGATCCCAAATGTACTGCACAACAGACTAGACTTATCACGGCGCTTCCTTTTTACATACAGTATGATGAGCCGTCCAGTTCTTCAGGGAGATTCCCCACTGGGTCTACATGGAAGATTAACTCTTTGCTCTCTGTAGTAGGAAGTTTAGACAACCGACAAGCTTCTCAGGTCCCCCATTGACAGCAGCTCTATCATTTGCCTCTCTCAACATCCTGAACTCAGCCCCTTATAAGAACTAGATCTGCCCAGTGCGGCCCAGACAGTTTACGTCAGACAAACAGCGGTGCATGTATCACCAGAGGCCCTCTCTTTCCTGCCAGTACCATCTCTAGAACAGGAAGAAGTGGGAGGAGGGGATCAATAGATGTGATCTGCTTCTTGGCCAGCACTATCTTGTGGTGCTGCTGGAGCATGGGGCTCATGTTGTCATTGTGGAGTGAGCTCATGGCTTTATAAAGAGTCCAGTGACATCGCTGTGGAGCAGCTAAATATAATCCTCTGCTGGAGACTGAAAAACTTAATTGCCCAGGCCACAGAGCAGCATAGTGCCCCCAGGAGTAACCCTGCATGAGCCCCTAGCCTACAGACTATTGATCCAGGGCCCTCACTCTCCATTGGTACAATGAACACTGCTCACTCTCTCTCTTCTCTCTCTTTCCTTCATGTATCTGTACTCTCTCTTTTCATCTGTTCCTGTTATTCTGTCTCCTCACTTCCCTTTTGTTTGCTTGTATAGATCTGCACATCATAAATCTCTGTCAGTTTCTCCTGAGTGTCTGGCATATCCTGGCTCTTCCCCTCCCGTCAGGTCCACCCCCTTCGTTTTCTCCTTTCTCTGCCAGAGCAGGACTAATGAATGAGAAACTCCAAAATTAGGGGCCTCTCCCTTGTAGATTAGAATGGGTCCCTATGGAGCGCCGGGCTTGCCTCCAACCAAACCTCAGCCGTCAAC